CTCGGTGAGGCGGAAGAGGCGGCGGCTCCTTCCCGCTGCGGCCGGGAACACGGTAATGGGCTGGGAATGGGCTGGGAATGGGATGGGATGAGGATGAGGACGAGGATGAAGATGAGGATGAGGAGCAGGGCTCCACGCCCCTCACTGGAGGCCGGTCGGTCACTGCCGCCGGGGGAAGCGCACACCGGGAGCCGCGGGCGCTGCTCCGCTGCCGGCTGCGAGCACAAAGCCGAGGAGAGGCTGGCCCTGGGAGCCGGGGGTGGGCAGAGGACAGAGGAAGGATGTGCTATCCCCTCGCGGCCATCCCTTCCTGCCCCGCCGGGGCCTCCCGGCTCAGCCCCGCCATGGGAAAGGGAGCCCGGCACGGCAAACAGGGATGGTGGGGCAGGCACCGCTGAGAACAAGCCGCTGTAAATAAAAAGTTTGGAGTTTTATTAGGTTAGAGCATCGCCGCCCGGGATCTTGCAAAATTGCCTCTAGTTTCGATTGGTTTTAAGTTTATAAACGTGGAATCAGTGGCTGGTTTGGGTTGGGAGGACTTTAAATATGATCTCGTTGTGCAGGAACAGCTCCCACAGACCAGGCTGCTCCCACAGACCAGGCTGCTCCCACAGACCAGACCAGGCTGCTCCCACAGACCAGACCAGGCTGCTCCCACAGACCAGGCTGCTCCCACAGACCAGACCAGGCTGCTCCCACAGACCAGGCCAGGCTGCTCCCACAGACCAGGCTGCTCCCACAGGCCAGGCTGCTCCCACAGACCAGGCTGCTCCAGGCCCCGTCCAAGACAGCTCTAAATATTTCCAAATTATTTCTGCTGGTAGCTTTAAGAAAGGTTTTTCCCCCTATACGCTTATTATTATGGTATTTTAAAATGATTATATGGGAATATTGGGTATTATAATTAGTAATCTTTAATATGAGAACTCCCCACCTTTTCCCTGTCCACACTCCACAATGGATCTGAACCCCTGAGGAGCCTTGGGATTTATTTCAAAGTTCACCAGTTTTATCTGTTGGCATAATCTTGCAGGAGAATGAAAGTAATGCCCTGGAAGGAGCTGCCACCCACAGCTGGAAGGGAAAAACTGCCAGGGAAAAGTCGGGAAGAGGAGGCAGAGCTGGAGGAGCTGCACCTGCACCACAACTGAGCAGAAGTTCTCAGACTTCCTCACTTTGCTCCAAGCCCTTGAAATAGGAGAAGGTTGGAATTTATTTCCCTGTGTGGTTGGGGTTTCCTGAAGGACCTGAATTGATGTTTATTTTCCCAGATTTTCCCTTATGTAGCAGGTCAGGATTTGTCTCCAGTTTTATTTTTCACAGTGTCGTGAAATCAGGCTTTTCTTCCTATAGAGAATCAAAACATTTATAATGCTTTTTCCATTAGGCAGCCAAGAACTGATCAAACTGATCAGTTTTCACTGCTATGCTTTTAAAGTTGATCATCAAAATAAGTGTTATTGATCTAAAATCAAATAATAAGCACTGATACATAACTTAGGTTATTTTCTCCCAGTATGTATTTTCCTACTGTCCACTGAAAGTCAGGCTGATGCATAAAAAAAAGATTCCTTTTAGGCAATTACTGATTTTGAAAGGAATCAGTTCAAAATTCTTCTGTTTAAATGCTTTATGTAAAATTGCTTTAATCCATTTTAAGGCCATTGTTGGTGAAATGTTTTCCAAATCCTTCCTTTAAAGAATGATTAATTTAAAATCCACAGAAACATGAGGCAGGTGGGCTTTGGAAAATCAAATTTCCCTGGATCCCAGAGTGCTGTTCTGGGAGTTGAATTTATTTGTCAAATATAAAACATTTATGAGCCCTGTGGTGATATTTTTGAAGACAAAGAGTAATTAATTGTGCTGTGAAATCAAACCTTCCATCATCCTGATGTGTGTACTCGTGCAGGATAAATATTATTACTGCAAACATCAGAAACTATTTGGAATCCCCACAGTTAGGCACTGGAATTATTTTGGCTTAAAGATGTCTAAAAAGATATGATAGAGCTCGTGTAATTTTAAGGAACTACAGTGAAAACAAACATTGGAGGGTTCAGGCCTGGGGGTCTGGTTGTAAACTGAAGATTTATCCCTTGGAATCTCTAATCCTGACACTTGAATGGATTCCATAGGGGTTTGGAAGGACCTGCTGTGGATTTGTCTGCCTCAAATCCAAAATTTACCTAGCTAATGATAAAAACAGTCTTGATTTTGGTCATAAACAGCTTTAATACATCGCTTGATTTAAGGAAGTCGATTTTTACCTTTCCCCCTCCCCCTCAGAACAGGTGGCTGCTCAAGCCTTGAAAGAAGAAATATTTCCTTGTACTTTTGCTTTCTTGTGCCATGTGCCCCAGCTCGTGCAGATCAGTCAGACTTCCTGTCTCCAACAGAAACAGCAAAATCCTGAGGCCTCTGAGCCCCCATTTCCTGCGCATTTGTTGGATTTTGTGCACGGTGTTCTGTCCTTGAGGCACCTCAGAGTCGTGGTGCTGACATCCCTGGGATCACAGCCTTGGCTCCTGGGTGGGGATCAGCGCTGTGCAGGGAGGATTTTGGGTGAAAGCCACGAGCTTTCGGTGCAAACCCGCTCAGCAAACCTTGCCGGGCAGCGGCTCCGTGTCCTGCTGCCATCCGTGGGGTGAGGGATGTGACAGCTGGATCAGGAATCCTTGGGTGGGCTGGTATTGCAGCACAATTCCAACACAAGGAGAAGGAAATATTTGAATAACAGCACTCTGAATGCCACTTTTCCTTTCTTTTTCACCCTGGAAGATGCTCCAGCACCTGTGGAACAGATTCTGAGGGGCACCAGCAGATCCCGACCATGGCACCGGTTCCGGTCAGTGCCTTGTACATGAGACCCTTGAAATGGATTTTCCTGTTGCTGCTGGTGTTTTCCCTGATAACCATGTGGTACATCACCTCCTCCTCCAACGCTGGCCTGGAGAGCATCAACCTGCTCTACTTCTACGAGTACGAGCCCGTGTACCGGCAGCAGCGCCCGTTCTCGCTGCGCGAGCGCCCCAAGTGCGCCGACGTCGACCCCTTCCTGGTCATCCTGGTGGCTTCCAGCCCCAGGGACGTGAAAGCCAGGCAGGCCATCAGGATCACCTGGGGCTCCCGGGATTCCTGGTGGGGCCAGCGCGTCCTGACCCTGTTCCTGCTGGGACGGGACACGCAGAGGGAGGACGGGGCGGCGGCGCTGTCGGTGGAGGACGAGAGCATCCTCTACGGGGACATCATCCGCCAGGATTTCACGGACACTTACGACAACCTCACCCTGAAGACCATCATGGCATTCCAGTGGCTCTCCGAGTTCTGCTCCAACGCCAGGTTCTTCATGAAGACCGACACCGATGTCTTCATCAACACTCCCAACCTGGTGAAGCTCCTGCTGCAGCTGAATTCCTCGGAGAACGTCTTCACCGGGTATCCCCTCATCGACAACTTCGCCTACAGAGGCCTGGACAGAAGGAGGTACATCTCCTATCAGGAATATCCCTTCAGGCTGTATCCTCCCTACTGCAGCGGGCTGGGATACATACTGGATGGAAAACTGGCTCTGAGGACCTACGAGCTGATGGGCCACGTCAAACCTCTGAAATTTGAGGATGTTTATGTGGGAATTTGCTTAAATATACTCAAAGTCAACGTCACTGTTCCAGAGGATGCAGAACAGTTCTTTCTCTATAAAATCAGCTTTGATATCTGTAAGTACAGACATTTGATTGCAGTTCATGGCCTCACATCAAATGAACTGGTCCAGTTTTGGCAGGATTTGTCATCTGACACTTCAAAAACTTGCCTTTGATTGTGGATTTATTTAGAAACTTCTGTTTGGTGCGAGAGTGGCCTCTAGAGACGACTCTGACTGCTGGGGCAGCGTTTCTCGAGGGCATTCCAATGCTCTTCAGGAAAAACAGGGATTCACAGAGCACTTTTCCATGTGTGTACCCCACACCCAGAGGTTCCTTGGAACCCCCTGCCTCTGCTGCCTTTCCATGTGCTCAGAGCAACCCTGGGATTTCCCCCTGAATCTTCTGGAATGTACAAAACACCACCGAGGGAAGGTGTTTATGCCAAGAAAGCAGCTTTGATTTGAAATTCCTGCCTGGATTGTTTTTGTTGTTTTATTGCCACTCTCCATTATTTGTTCTCTGCCCAGCACAAAATTGAACCCAACCCAAGGTTTTTTTTTTGCCTGTGTAATCCTCCTGAGAGTGTCACACCTTGGCATTTAAATGTGTCACCTCCACAACGCTTCCAGGAGTGTTCCCAGCCTGGGGATCCTGTGGGATCTGCAGGAGCTGATGAGAAATGCTGGAAATGTGGTGCAATTTGTGTGTCCACGTTCACTGGAATGGCTTTGGTGTCTCTGCTGGTGTTCCCAGATCAGGCAGATGGAGCTCACGAGCAATTTGGACATCCCAAAAACATTTGGATCATCAATCCCCCCACCCCTGTGTGTGTGTGTGATGCATCCCAGGAGTTCTGGAACCCTGTGGGGAAGATGAAGAATCATTTCTGTTGTGATTTATGTCTGTTTCTAAATGAGTGGTTTTGTTCCAATTTTAAAATTAACAAAGGCAGGAATTCCCCCACCTCTACTTTTAAAAAAGACCAGCTCCGCCCTGTGTGTAAAGACCGGTTTTTAATCACTTTATTCATATCAGCAAGGCCCAGTTTTCAGTAGTTTACACTTCTAATGGACAACGATACAGAATTTGCAATTGCATGAACATAATTAACCTGGACACATCCACTACACGGGGGAGGGACTGCGGAGACGTCCTGGCCGCGCTCCCGTTGGGCTGGCACAACCCCAGGGCCCCGTGGTGGCTTGGGGACAGAGCCCAGGGGCTGGGACAGAGCCCAGGGACAGGGACAGAGCCCGGGGGCTGGGACAGAGCCCAGGAACTTGGCTGAGGCTCCCCTGTGCCCCCAGCACGCCGGGCTCCACGGGCAGCGCCGGCTTTCGCTCCGCTCCACACCTGGCCTGGGCGTGCGATCTGAGGATGGGCTTGTGTTCTTTAGGGATCAAAAGGTCTTGGGGACAACACTCTCCAGACAAGGGTTTCAAATGTTGGTGTTCTGATGGGGAGAAGATTTTAAAAAATGAAGGCTTTTTGTTTTTTTTAGGGGTGGGGGAAATACGGTATTGCATAATTGAGGGAATCGATGCTCTTGTATTCCTAGATCCGGGTGAAATTCCAGCTGTGCCGTGGGTTTAGGAGCTGGGATTTGATCGTTCTCTGAGCAGGTGCTGGGAGAACTGCCTTGTTTTGTGATTGTTTACACATCTTAAACCCCAAACCCCTCCGTTTTCCTCTAAGCCTGCCATGTGAAATGATGAGAAATAAATTATTTACCACAAGAACACTGATACTACAGCACAGCTTGTATTGCTTTCTCAAAAAAAAAATGTAATTGTGACTCTTCTGCCTGCAGAAAATGGATAAAGCAAAGAGTGCTCGTGCTGAGGGAGGAAGGAGAGTCCTGGGGAGGTGAGAATGGCCAGAAATTCTCCTGTCACCTGCAGGAATTTGGGGTTTTTGTGCCCCAAAGGCTGACACTGCTCACAGGTTCCAAGGCTTAGGTTTATACACAGTGATCTCTTTGTGCCACCTGAAATTCATTGTCATTTACAGTGCCAGCAGCATTGGAAAAACACCCATCCTGCTCCTGGATTTCCTAAAAAAAAACAAAACACCTCATTTCCAAACCTGGCTTGTATTTGATTCTGACTTTATTATTGCTTAAAAGCCTGTAAAATTCCTAACTGAGCTCCTGTTTCTGCTCAAAGCCATTCTTAGGGAAGTTTTTAGTGTGAGCAGCCTGGCAAAAGGTGAAAAACCTTAAAAATATGAAATAATTTGGGAATTGAAGTGGGGGGGGAGGTTGCATTTTATTGCATCTGCCTAGAACACTGTACTAAAAGTGTAAAACAGGCTGAAGGTTTTCCAAATCCTAAGGGGTTATTTTTTCCTCATGCAGCTGTATTAAATCTGAATTCCAAATATTTGTGATTTTGATAGGAAAACTGTGGGGTTTCCTGAACTGAAAAGCCTAATAATAGTAATAATAACAATAATAATGATAATTATTGTAATAATTGGGCAAAGGTGTTTGGAAGTTGCCGCTGGGTGGGGAGCAAAGTGGATTCCAAGATGAAATTCCCAGTCTGGATGTTATTTCTGAGGGGTTGAAATGCTGCAATGCTTCCTGTTCATCCTGGAACAAACAAATTCCCAATAAATCCTACAGGAGAAGGAGGGGCAGCATTCCCTGTGGTCAGTATAATAGGATGTCTGGGATATTTCCCTAAATTTTACCTCACGTTTAGTGAGCTCTGATTGGTGTCAGAGCAGGCCAGAAAATGGAGAGGCTGCCTGTGTCCAGGCTTCCAAAAATGCAGGCATATGCTTGGAAAAAAAGTGCTTTAGTCCCCTATTGCTCAGATAATTCCCAGAATTTGGGTTGGAAGGGACCTTAAAAACCACCTGATTGCAGCTTCCTTAGGACTGAGCAGAGCAGATACAGGAGCTGCCCAAATCCATGAAATCCACACATTTTTCCCCTCAAGAATTGCCCTCAAACCTGTGTTTGTGGTTCTGGAAAAGCTCCAGCTGCACCCACCGGGTTTTGTTTTCCAGAGCACCCAGATTATCCTTCAGAGCTGGACACAGCTGATCCCTGGAATTTTAAGTTACCTCAGGAAAATCCATATTTCTCCACCTGCTCCCCTAAGCCTTGTCCAAGTCAGCACTGGAAAAATAAAAGTCATGAAATTTCAGCTCGTTATGAACTGTTCAGATCTTTTTCTCTGGGAGTTTTGGAAAGGCCATTTAGGAATATATCGGGCACAAGGGGCAGCAGCTCTGGGCTCTGCCAAATTCCAGCAGAACATTCTCACTTGGAATTTTGTACAGAGGCCTAAAATCCTACTTTGGGAGATGAAAAGCTGGTGAGGTGTTTTATTTTTGTAGTATAATCACTGACTAAATGCTTCTCTGTGTAAAACAAGTATCAGCTACATTAGCAGTAATTCCATATTACTTAAAGCAGGGCTGTCCTGTATCCTGAGACACAAAATTCCCTTTTTTTTTAGGCATTGGTGTTTCTGCAGCCAAGCTGACTTTCATTCTGCCTTCTGGATTCCCAGATCTTCACAATATTTTTCATTTCACCTCTAGAAATGCTTTAACCCTGCAACAGCAGCAGCAGCAGCAGCAGCAGCAGCAGGAGTTTAAATCCTTTATCCAGGGGATTTGTGGGAATGTCAGGGCAGGCTCAGCCGGTAGAAGGAGCCACGGTGCCACCAAATCAGGTGTGCCCAGCTCCTGGGACAGGCTGGGACAGCCACATTCCTGCCAGGAATTCAGCACCAGGGATGGGTGAGCTCCGTGGCAATCCGTGCTCCAGGCTGAGAGAGCTGGAATATCCCACGGGAGCCACCTGGGAGCTGGGATATCCCTGGGAACAGCCAGAGCTGGCTCAGCTGAGCGGCTCCAGGGGCATTTTTGACTCCCTGGGCCATGGGGAAGATGCTTTTTGGCAGAGACTCCGTGGGTCAGCGCTGGGCACCGAGGCCCCGAATCATCAAACCACCAAACTTCCCGGGATGGCCGCAGCCCTTGTGCCACAGCCAGCGGGATATTCCTGGCTCCAGCACCTGGCAACCCTTCCCAGATGGAGGATGGAGCGTTAAGGCAGTGGGAGAACCCTGGGTTGGTCAGGTTGCATAAGCAGGATGTACAAGGAGTTCATCTCTCCAGCCTCCAGCTGCATCGCGACGGAGTTTGGCACGGCCGGGAAGTTGGAAATGCCTTGATTTGGAGGAAAAACTTCCAAACTTTCCAGCTGGGAGCACAGGTAGGCACTGCACGTGGATGTGGGAGACCACACAAAGCCTCTCACCTCCATCAGTCCTTCCTCTTCAAACATGAAGCAGCTGAAGCTCCTTTTTTAAAGCAATCAAAGCAAAAATCCCTGGGCTGAGCAGAGATCATTGGCATGGATGGCTTTGGCCAGGCCAGTGCTGCCAGGGAGGGGGCACAGAGGACTGGAGGTGCTGGACCGGTGCTTGCTGCAGCTGCAGCCACTTGGAGGTTGCCACAGGGCTGATTTGGAGCTGCCTGGAGAGGCTGCAGTGCCAGGGAATGATCCTGGAATGATGCAGGCAAACCTGCAAACCGGCACCGCCCTGCTGTGCCTGCCTGCATCCCGGAGCGTGGCTCGCTTCCAGCAGCAGCTGCTCTCCCAGTGCTCCCTCCTGGCCGGGAATTCCTGCCAGCTCCTTCTCCTGGCTGTCCCAGGGCTGCAGGGGCAGCCAGCCAGCTGTGCTCCAGAGGTCATGGATCCCTCAGGAATGCTCACTGACCTTGGGATGCTCCGTGCAGCAAGGAGCTCCCTGGCCAGTGCTGTTGAGCTGTTTTTCTGGGAATGACCGTCATTCCAGCTTCTCCAGTGCCTGTGATGGGTTAGTGGGGATGTCTCTGGACACAAACATCCCTCTCCTTTAGAGCTGCTGGCTGGAATTCCCTTTGTTCCCCTTTTCCCAGGGCAGCTGTGCCCTCCAAAGGAAAGGCACAGCGGGAACATCTCCAGTGAAGGAGACAGCAAAGGCAAACTCCACATGCTGAGCTCTGCCTGCAGCTGCTCCACCGCTCCTGCCGTGCCATTCCCAGCCCAGGATCCAGCATTCCCATGGAATCATCACCCAAGGCTTGCATTTCCCAGCTCTCTGACCTCGGCTACCTCTCCACAGCAGAACAACTGCAGCGCTCTGCAATTATTCCCATAATTCAGATCCTCGGAGCGCCCTGTGCAGGGGATTAAAAACGTCAGGAACCTCCCATCCTCTGGGAAAGGAGCAGTGCAGGCTGCTGGACACTTCTCAGGGGCTCTCCTTGGAGGTCAGGGTGAGCACAGGGGTCCAGACACATTTTGCACAGCACTGGAAATGCCACCAGGGCCAATTAAGGGCTGAGATTATCCCCAAACCAATTAAAGGAGGCAAATTTATTGGGAGACAAAGCTGGAAAGACAAAGATGGGGATTCTTTCTCGAGCAGAAATTTGTGCTCTTTGATTTTTGCCTTGAGAGATCCTGACCTCCTCAGCACCTGCCCTGCCCAGCTCAGCCTCACCCCAAAGCCCTGCAGGACAGCACTGGGGGCAGGCAGCTGGGAAATGAGGAATATTGTACTTTCCCAAGGAACAGCTCATCCACCACATCCCAGACCCAAACACAGGCATCACCCTGGAGACTTGAGCAGATTGTCCAGGACCACGTTCTGGGGCAGATCCCGAGGACTTTTGTAAGGCAGGATAAGGAGAAAGGAGCCATCCAAAATCCTGCCTGCCCTGTCCCTCTGCCATGACACAGCTGGTACCAGAGGTGCAGCAAACCCAGACTGTCCTCATTCCCACGTAAAGCAGTCACAGATCCCAAAATACAATTAAATACTGAAAGTTAGATCTAAACATACTTTTAAAATCTAGATTTAACACAACCTTTCATCTCTACAGTGCATTGATGCTGCCTGGCGTTTGCATGTCATCCCAAAAGCCACTTCCAGCGGGGTCTGCCCCGGGATGAACACCACAAATCCACCTGCAGTGGTACAGGGAAGTCTTGCACAGCCTTTGACTTCCAGCCAGGTAGCTCTGAGGAACTCCCTGCTTGGATGAGCTTCCCAACAGCCAGCGAAGAAATTCGTTCTCTCTCACGTCACTTTCCAAGTCCATGCCACGGAAATAAGGTCAGGGTGATTCTCGGTGAAGGACAGACATTCTGCTATCCCAGCGGAGCTCTGCTCCCATCCAGGAGGTTCAGAACTCCCAGGATTTTGCTGAAGTTCACCATTAGTTGGTTTGGATACAATATGGCCTAGAAGAACTGGTTTAGAGTAATGCACAGCCTGAATAAAGGTGGTAATTCAGGAGCTCTACCTACTGACATGCTTGGCAGGGGTTTGTTTTGGGCAGGGGTTAAACAAAGCGAAAGCCAGCAGTGGCAGCAGGCTGAGAGGTGGCTCCTCTTCCTCCTTCACATCACAAACCCTCCTCCTACCCACCCTTATCCCTGCAGGTCACGGGGGACGTGAGAGCAGCTTCTGAGCAGTGACACCCAGGAGGGAAAAGCAGCAGCACTGCACTGCCCCTGCCCTGTGCCCGCGGGAGGGGAGCGATCAAACCAAAAACCTACACAGGGCTGGTAAAGAAAAGTGAGAAATGGCAGGTTCCAGTGGGGGCCTGAGGAGCAGCGAGGGCACAGGAGGCAGGGACACGGGGACAAACCGGATTCTTGGATTTGTTGTATTGCTCCTTCTGCCAAGCCAGGAACGGAGCCCAGAGGGATCCGCTCCTCCTGGGAGAGCCCGGACGGCGTTTCTAGAGCTTCCTACGGCGGAGAAAATGTTCTGAGTCCTGAGCGGGCCCGGGGGCTCCTTCACTGCTGCTCCTCTGCTTTGCTGCTATTCCTGAACTTCACCACCATGACGGTGATGTTGTCGGGGCAGCCTCTGTAGAAGGACTGCAGCACGATGCTCTTGGCCCCGAAGTGCGGCTCGTCCAGGCGCTCCTTGATGAACCGCACGGCCTCCTCGTTGCTGAAGGCGTCCCACAGCCCGTCCGAGGCCAGGATCATGAACTCTGGCTGCAGTTTGTCCAGGTCAAAGCTCAGGATGTCGGGGTCGGGGATCACCACGTTCAGGTTCTTCAGGGGGTAATCGCCCAGCGAGCGCGACATGGCCAGGATGCCCTGCACGCGCCACGAGCCGTTGAAGCTGATGAACCCACCTGGGGAGAGACAGCAACGCTCAGAGCAGCTCTTGGGGACATCCAAGCAGCTCTCTGCTTCCTGCCAGACCCCCAGAGGTTCATCCTGAGGGGTCACAGAGCTCACAGTGAGGGAGGTGCCTTTGGTAGATCTCAGAGCGCTGTGGGGAAGAGCTGGATGGCAATGACTGGATCAGGAATGGCTCTGCTCTCCCCAGGAATGGCTCTGCTCTCCCCAGGAATGGCTCTGCTCTCCCCAGGAATGGCTCTGCTCTCCCCAGGAATGGCTCTGCCTTCCCCAGGAATGGCTCTGCTCTCCCCCAGAGAAACCCCCAGCTTCTGGAATAGCACAGCAATTCCTGCTCCACACAATTCCTCAGGAACCCCCTTGGAATTTTGCAGCAGAGAAGAGTGAGGGTAAACCTTGACACCCCTGTGTTTGTGAGGACAGGTGATTATGAGAGGAAGGGACAGTATTTACACTGATATCCTGAGGGCTTCAAAATGTTTTATACTCATGGAAGAACACGTGATTCCCATTTTGGAGGGGAGAGAGGTCCTGCACTGCTGGGACAATGCTCACTGGAGGGTTAACATCAACCACAGGAACTTCTTTTCTCCCCCAGAGAATTTGCTGCTGCTGTGGGAGCCAAATCAGGAATGGATTCCAAAAAGATTCTGACAAATCCAAGGAGAAGTGGCTGTTAAACCTGATGATCCCAGTGTAAATTCCAGCCCAGGAGGTGGCTAAAGTGACAAGTAATGAAAACAAGGAAGATTTACTGAGGGAATGTTTCTTCCCCTCTACTCCTGCCACGATTTCCATGTTTGTGCTAGTTACATGGGAATAAAAACCAGCTTGGATGAAGTAGATTCACACTCTGCTGATTTTAGCCCTAAACCTCCCTCAGGCTCAGACCAGGCCTATCAAAGCCAGGCTTTGGGCAGGGCTGGGGCTGAAGCTCCTGGGATGCTCCTGGTTATCCATGTGAAGATGCCAAGGGATGGTCACTGGGCTTCTCTCCCTTACCCCAACCAGCTGCTTAAGGGGTGGATCATCTACTGCCACCTCTGCCTGTGACATCCCACCGGAATTTTGGGTGAAAAACAGGAGGTCTGATCTGCTGATGTCTCTGCCCTGTGACATCCCACCGGAATTTTGGGTGGAAAACGGGAGATCTGATCTGCTTGTGCCACCTCAGCCGGGCACTTCCCACCCTCTCCTGGGGGAAATGTCGATTTTAGCAACAAATAAAAGATGAACCTTCCAACAACTCACCAGCTCTCTTGATCCTCTTCCTCTCCTTCAGCTGGTAGGGTTTGTGGTCGTGGGACAGGGGGATGGCGTTGCCGTCCTTGTCGCAGAGGACGCCGCGGGAGTCGCCCACGTTGGCCACGGTCAGCTCCTTGTCGGACAGGAGGGCGATCAGACACGTGGTGCCTGCAGGAACAGCAGGGGTGGGAGGCACAAAACCCCACGGGGGGTGTAAAGAGATATTCCTGGGCTGCAGGAAAATGTCCTTCCTGGCACAGAATCCCAGGATCGTTGAGTTGGGAGTTGCCAGGATCACAGTGCCGCCTGTGACCCTCCAAGCCCGTGGTGGCTCTCCCTTCAGAGAGGCTGGAATTTCCCATTTCCCTTCCCTGTTTCTCCTCTCCACTTCCCATCCCCACATTCCTGCCCCTCTCACCCAAAACCAGCAGGACCCCAGCAAATATCAGCTATAAAATCCCCATTTTGGGGCTGACCTGGCTCTGGATGCAATCCCTAAATATCAATATCTCTGTACCGATAGCTCCCAGGACTGCTTGACAGCAGGGAAGACATGGAAAAAGAAAGGGAAAAATGAATTCCATCTCTTTTTTTGTTGTTGTTGTTGTTGTGCAATAATGAAATTCAATTTCTCCAGGACTCCTGGGGAAGAAGTGCCATCCATTAAGGGAAAAAAAAACCCATTTCCCACAGGACAAAAACACTTCCAGAACCTCCCAGCAGTCTGGAATTCCCTGGGCCACTGGAATTAAATGCAAAAATGCCTTAAAATAACCAAAATTTGCCACAGATCAGGCACTGACCACCTCAGCTGTAAATCAAGGGAATGGGATTAAGAGCCAGCAAAGCTTTGCTGGGAGAAAATATTCTTGCACAAAATTACCCCAGCCTTAGCTAGGCAAGAATGCCACTTTTTAAACTAAAGGATTTAGAGATTAGGAGAGGATTTGTCCCCATCTGTCACTTTTGGCCTCCTTTCATTTTTTAAAGCTTCCTTACTCAAACCTCACAAAAAATCTTGCCAGCATTTCCAGACAAACTCATTTTATTTGCAGCTCTGATGGATTGATTTCCTAAAGGGAAAGATTCCCAAAAAAGATTCACTTTGGGATGTGGAGTCCATCATTTATTAACACTGGATGTTGCCAGAAAAGCCAAATTAACACCCCAAATTGTGCCAAACCCAGAGCACTCGAGCTTTGTTCTGGCAAATGGATGCAGCAGAACTCGACCCACTTTGGGAAACATCCCTGGGGAGAAAGGAGGTACTGGGGGTGCAGAATGGTCCTTCCAAGAGGGATGGAGAAGGTTTCCTGGCTGGAAAAGGTGTGGAAGCGCTTCCCTGTGCGCCACACCCTGCTAAAATCAGCGACTTGGATCCCTTCAAACATCTCCTTTTGCAGCTTTCCTGGCTGACACCTGCTGGAATCCCACCTCTCATCGTTCCTCCCGACATGAAACCCCTGGCAGCGCTCCAGGGTGGCTTTGGGTGATCCCTCACATCATCCCCTGCCAGACAAAACTGCATTTTCTCCCCTTTCATCACCATCACTTCTATTTTTGCCTATTTTGGAGGATTGTTCCTTTTGTTTTTTATGCCCCACCAGCAGCTCGAGTTCCTTATTGAGTTGATTTTGCTGTGGAAACAAAAGCCAAAAAAAAAAAAGGGAAAATGCCACCATCAAGGGCTGGAGCAGCCAGGATCACCAGCAGCTGCTGTAATTATATTTAAGTGCCCATTTTCTGTGCTTTGCTCACAATCAGCTCTCACTTCAAGGGCAGGGAGAGCCATTTCTGCCTTCCTCATAAATAAGAGACACAATTAGGAGGGAGAGGGGGCTCCACTGCTGTGTTTCCATCTCTGGAGGTGCCTCCACCTGCTTGGGAAGCTGGAATTTTGGGGTTTCATTTACAGCTCTGCTGCTGGGAATTTTCTAAACCGGTTATTACGGAGCTTCTCATTTCCACACGGTTTTTGTTGGATGAGATAAATCCCCAAATATGTGTTTCAAGCAGTTTTAATCTTTATTTTCGCCGTACAAACACGGAGATTTCCATAAAGGAAAAAAGCTTTCTTCTCTTTCTGACAGGAACCAGTAATTTCCCTGCATTTTCTCCTCCCTTAAAAACTCCTGTAAATGAAAATAAGTGGAGAAGACCGAACTAAGGGGAAAAAAAAAATTACAGGATTGATCAGAGTGGGAAATTCTGTGCGAGAAAAGATCAACAGAAAGCAACAACTTTTGGAGCTGATTTTTTATGCATCATTAAAAGCAGGCCACATGTGATGAAAGAAATATTCTGCAGCCTCATTTTACCTCTGCTGGCCTTTGAGAAGCCACAAGCCAAGCTCCTTGTGTGAGGTGTATTTTGCAAAAGGATCCAAAAGCTGGAAGGCATTTCTGACTGCTTGCAAACAAAAACGCTACAAAAAGCATCGGATCTGGAAACCCTGAGTTCAGGGTTAAAAAAGCCTCCAAAATCGCCTGGGTTTGGCTGCCCACGGCCTCGTGTCACCTTGAAAATCGGGTTTTGTGCCTCTCAGCAGGGAAAACACAAACATCAGTTGTTTGTGATGGAGAAAAGAGCAAAAACCAGGTGGCACAGGGAGAGATTGATGAGCATTGAATGGAGATCAATGATGGGCAGAGCACAGAGCACTGGGAGGAGGAGGAGGAGGAGAACAAGAAGAGCAAGAAGAACAAGAACAACAAGAAAAACAAGAAGAAAAAGAACAAGAAGAACAACAAGAAGAACAAGAAGAAGAAGAACAAGAAGAAGAAAAACAAGAAGAAAAACAAGAAGAGCAAGAAGAAGAAGGGCAAGAAGAACAAGAAGAACAAGAACAAGAAGAACAAGAACAAGAAGAGCAAGAACAAGAAGAGCAAGAAGAAGAAGAAGAAGAACAACAACAACAAGAACAACAACAAGAACAAGAAGAACAACAAGAACGACAAGAAGAACGACAAGAAGAACGACAAGAAGAACAACGACAAGAAGAGCAAGAAGAAGAAGAAGAAGAAGAACAACAACAAGAACAACAACAAGAACAAGAAGAACAACAAGAAGAACAAGAACAACAAGAAGAACAACAAGAAGAACAACAAGAAGAACGACAAGAAGAACAACGACAAGAAGAACAACGACAAGAAGAACAACGACAAGAAGAGCAAGAAGAAGAAGAACAACAACAACAACAACAAGAACAAGAAGAAGAAGAAGAACAACAACAACAACAACAAGAACAAGAAGAACAACAAGAAGAACAAGAGCAAGAAGAAGAACAAGAGCAAGAAGAAGAACAAGAGCAAGAAGCGTCCTCTCAGCTCCTTGCCATCCCATCGCTCACGAGGAACACTCCCCACAGCAGTCTGAGTGCAGGAGAACCAACTCTCCACGAGGACAACAGTCCAGCCTGCAGGAGGAGTTTGGGGAAAGGCTGGAAACGAGGGAATTTTGTGTCGCACCGTGTTAGGAACGGCGAAGCGACGACACAGACTCTCAGCTGGGTTGCCAAAGAGAGCGTGTTTTATTCTTCCAGATCCTCTTTTGCAGTTCTGAGAAGGCAAAACTTTTGTTGGCCACCAAACCAGCACGGCACCATCACTGCAGAGTTGGGAACAACACCCCGAAATCCACAAATGGCACCAGGACAAACAGATTGCCCTCCAAAGCAAGGAACTATTTAAGGAAAAAACACGCCAAGAGGAGTTTTCCTTTAATACCAAATTTTGGTGCGTTTAGCCCATTATTTCTATCTAAAAATCTCTTTTTTACCTCTGCAATAAATGATCAATATCCACAGGGAAGCCTAGCTCACAATTTAATGTTTCTTGCACGTAAACAACAAGGAACAAACAACACCCACAAAGGTTGTTTTCCCTCTCCAAGGCCTGTTTGAGCTCCTCCTCACGATTTCTCAGGCCAGAGCGAGAACTTTGTGTGACTTCACAGATCTCCCTGCCCCATCTCACGTCCAGCACCCCGTTTTGGGGCAGTAAAATGTGAATTTACAGCCCAGCCGTACCTGCCTCATCGTAGGACACGGTCAGCTTCTCCAGCATCTCCCTGTCGATGGACAGGATCTGCTGCTCCAGGATGCTCTGGTAGGACAGCACGCTGTTCTCCTTGTCCTTCTCGTAGTCCTGCAGGTGCTGCTTCAGCACTTCGGGCAGCCGCGACTTGACGTACTCTGCTGCTGACTGCGGAGCAAAGAGCGCGGTAATTAGTGCTGGTGTTAATTGGAACGGGGCTATTGTGGGGCAAAGAGATGGGGTAATTAGTGCTGGTGTTAATTGGAATGGGGCTAATATGGACCAAAGATCAGGGGTCATGAGCGCTGATATTAATTGGAACTGAGGCTATCATGGGGCAAAGAGATGGGGTAATTAGCGCTGGTGTTAATTGGAATGGGGGCTATCGTGGGGCAAAGAGCGCGGTAATTAGCGCTGGTGTTAATTGGAACTAGGGCTATCACTGACCAAAGATCAGGGGTAATTAACGCCAGTGTTAATTGGAATGGGGGTATCAGAGACCAAAGATCAGGGGTCATGAGCGCTGATATTAATTGGAATGGGGCTATAATGGGGCAAAGAGATGGGGTAATTAGCGCTGGTGTTAATTGGAACTGGGGCTATCACAGACCAAAGATCAGGGGTAATTAACGCCGGTGTTAATTGGAATTGGGAGCAAATCCCACAGAGCGAAGCCCCCTGAGCTGAGGCCCAGCCGCTCCAGCAGGGATTGATGATGCTGATGGATTTGGAATTGGATTTTTGAAACCCCAACAATCCAATCTCACGTCTTTATTCTGAATTTTAGAGCACCACGTGGCAAAGCAAAATCAAATTTAATGTCCTTGTTCTAAATTTCTGTTCTAAATTTTAAAGTAAAAATCAGCAATCACATTTAATGTCTTTCTTCTAAATTCTAAAGCGCAAAGTGAAATCACATGTAACGTCTTCATCCTAAATTTTTAGTCTGAATTTTAAAGCACCACATGGCAAAATGAAATAAAATCTAATCTGTTTATGCTAAATTTTTATTCTAAATTTTAAAGCACAAAGTGGCAGAGCAGAATCAAAATTAATGTCTTTATTCTAAATTCTTATTCTAAATTTTAAAGCACAAAGTGGCAGAATGGAATCAAATGTAATGTGTTTATCTTAATTTTTCGTTCTAAATTTTAAAGCACAAAATTGGCAGAGCAGAATCAAATTTAATGTCTTTATTTTAAATTTTTATTCTAAATTTTAAAGCACAAAATTTGCAGAGCAGAACCAAATTTAATGTCTTTATTCTACATTTCTACTCTAAATTTTAAAGCACAAAGTGGCAGAGCAGAATCAAATTTAATGTGGTTTTTTTGGGGGTTTTTTTCATTTTGAAGCAGAATTTCCCTTTTTTTTTTCATTTTGAAGCAGAATTTCCCTTTTATCACCTGCTCTTGATACATGACCAGGCCATAAATATTTCCACACAAACACCCCAAAAATTCCTTTATTTCCTCGTTCCTGCTGGGCCCCGAGGAGACGGAACGAACACAAGGGGGCAGGGCTGGAGCTGTGTGTAAAGCTGTAGTAACAGGTGAGTAACCACTGAGAGCATCCTGAGAGACCCAAACCCCTCCTGGATTCCTGATTTCCAGTGCCTGGAAATTCCCAAATCCCGATTTCCGCCTCTCCTGGCGCTCCCGCTGGACAGGGAACAGAAATTCCCTTTTCCTGGCATGGGTTTAATTTGGATTTTTCCCCTTTCCCTCTCTGAGCCAGCAGCTCCCTGCTCCGGTTTTCCTGCCACGCTCGGAAAAGAAATGATTATAAATTTGTTTTATTCCAGGCCTGGCAGTGACCAGAAGTCACCTGCCCTCCTCAGGGTTATATTTAATTTTCCAAAGTCAATCAGCGATTAAATTACAACCTTAAAATATCCCTGAGGTTGTGTTCCACGTTCCTGTGTGTGGGAATTACTCCTGGGAGTAAAACCAAGGGAATTACTCCTGGAAAACCAAAGGAACCGCCCGCAAGAGCAGAGAATAATTTATTAATTATTAACTAATATTACATTTGAAGAGTTGCTTTTTCCACAGGAAGGCACGTTGTACACGGATTATTAAATTATTATTATATTAAATAAATAATAAATTTAATAATAATAAATATTATTATTAAACATCTCTCAATGGGAAGGTAGAAAACCATGGAATAACGAGGTTGTGGACAAGAAAAGTATTCCAGAAAAGTCCATCAGTGAATTTTTGTGGTAATTCCCTAATTTCCTGCTCATTCCCAAAAAGGACAATGTGGAAATATCTAAGTATTGACATATCCAGAAATTAACATTCCTAGGTTAAAATATTTTTATTATTTTTAATTTATTTTTATTTTTACTCTTATTTTTATTTTTACTTTTATTTTTACTTTTATTTTTATTTTTACTTTTATTTCTATTTCTATTTTTATTTCTATTTTTACTTTATTTTTACTTCTATTTCTATTTCTATTTCTGTTTCTGTTTCTGTTTCTATTTCTATTTCTATTTCTACTTTTATTTTTATTTTATTTTTACTTCCATTTTTTTCCTATATATTAATAAATAAATTAATACAGAATATTAGGAATAATGAGAGTAAAGAAACTATTCCTGCAGCAAAAAATCATCAGCACTTAAATTGCACCTACACTGAATCTTAATTAGTGAGCCAATCATTATCCATGCCTCTTTTAGGAGAAGAAAAATAAGATTAGTGAGGAAATTAAAGTGAAAATGAGGCTGAAAGCAGCTGTTGGATAAAATTCCTGTCAGTTCTGACAAACAGCTGGAGCTGATTTAAAGGTGATGGATTCCATAAATCCTGGAAGATGCACAGAGCCAGAGGAGCAGCAATAATTCTGACAAACACCCACCTGGCCATTAGGAAAGGACGTTAATTTTTAACTAATATTTAAATTTACCCAAGGGCACGATTTAGTTAATGGCACAAAGCAAAACAGGAGTGATTGAAATGCTAAAAAAAAAAAAATAGGGATGTCAAGATTTCAGCTGATTTTGATGTTAATTGGGTGGAACTATTAACAGAGATGAGCTGAATATGAAATGAAAATCTGTGAAATAAAAAAAGGTTTCAAAATGCCTGAAAAGACTTGGCCATTACTGGGTAAAAATGCAGAAAAATCCAGGTCCCAAATTACAATTTATTTCCTGAATGTGATGTGCAGGGAGCAGGGATTGCATTTGAAGGCCAGCCAGGATTAACTGAAACATTTCCTTAACACTAAGCAAAAATAATAATTATTTTATATTTTTATATATAAAAATCATTATTTTATATTTTTATATATAAATATATATAAATATATATATTATAAGTATATATTTATATTATTTTATTTATATTTATACATTTTTATATTTTATATGTATATATATTTATATTATATTTACATATATTTATATATTTTATATATATTATTTTTATATATATTTTATATTTTATATATATTTTATATTTTATATATATTTATATTATTTATATTATTTATATATTTATTTATTTTATATATATTATTTTTATATATATATTTATATATTTTATCTATTTTATATATATATAATTTATATATATATATATATTTATATATTTTATCTATTTTATATATTTTGTATTGGTATGAAGAGGCAGAATCAAGAAGCAAGAAAAAGAGCAATAACCCTTAAAATAATGGTCAGAGTGTCAGAAACTCCCTAAATTTCCACAGGTGTTGAACTACTCGTTTTCCAAGCTGTTTTTTTAATTTTTTTTGATAGAGCAAAATGCTGCATTTTGGATTTTATTCAGCTCATCGAGCTCAACATTAAAGATGGAGAAAATAAAAAAAATAAAAAAGAGGTTTGCAAAATAAATTGAAATGACATTTCTAACCCTGCATCAACGCAGCCCCTGAGCTGAAAGCTTTTATTAGGAATTAAAACGCCTTAAAACTACTCCAGGGGATTTCCACAGGTGTCTCTGTGCAGAAGCTTTTCCAAAGAACAGGGTTTTATTTAAGTGAAAAACCAGTTTTCCCAGAAACCTTTCATTCTGCTCCTGTAGTTGAGGGAGAAATGTATTTATAGCCTATTAGAGTCAATTAAAGAGCAAGAAGCATTCATCTTTTTCTTGCCATTGTTCTCTCCCTCCAAGCACTGAGGGAGAGGAGTGGAATATTTTAGCCTAAATGGTCTCTCCTGATTTAGAGACTTCACTTTGTGCCAAGCAGAAATCCAGAACTGGAAAGGTTCAGTCTGGGTGAGTTACACAGGCAGCAAAAACAAAAAAAACAACAAAAAACCAACGAAAAACCAAAAAAAACCCCATCAAAACCATTATTATTATTATTATTATTATTATTATTATTATTATTATTATTATTACTACTATCCTTATCCTTATCCCTATCCTTATTATCCTTATTATCAATATCATTATCATTGCTATATAATATATAATAATTATATAATATATAAAAATGTATATTATATGATATATGATAAATAAAATAATATATTACAATAATATTATATATATTATATAATATATCATTAATATTATATATTATATTAATATTATATATATTATATATAATATAATATATTATAATATATATTATAATATATTATATATTATAATATATTATAATAATATATAATATAATAGAATATCAACCTATCATATAATATATATATAGAATATATATATTTATTATCCTTATTATCAATATAATTATTATTACTATGTAATATATAATAATTATATAATATATAGAAAATATATATAATATGATATATGATATATAAAATAATATAATACAATAATATTCTAATATTATAATATATTATAATAATATATAATAGAATAATAGAATATTGATATAGTCTATGTAATATATATAGAATATAGATATTATTATTATTGTTATTACTATTTTATAATTATGTAATATAGTAATAAAAATACATATATAAATATATTAATATAAATATAATTATAAAATAATATAATATATTATATAATAATGTAAATATTAATAAGAAAAATAAAAATAAAATAGTAATAATAAAAATAAAATAATAATGATAATGATAATGATAATAATAATAATAATAATAGTAATAAATCTCTATTTTCACCTGCTTAGAATTTCACCAGTGTTCAACCAGCTGGTCACAAACCTGTCTCCCACTCTTCCCAGTGTTTCTAAATGGAATATTCCTGTCATATTTCTGGAATTCCATCCAGTACAACTCCAAGGCCCAGCAAGCAGCAAACACCCAGGAATTTTCAATTAACAGCAGAGTTTTAATGTAGAAAATATTCTCATTTTGCCTTCCTCAGCCCCGAGGGAAGCAGGAGAGCTCCTGGAGCAGGAGATGTTGTCCCTTGGAGCCAAGTCCTGTCCTGATAAGGTTTTGGAGATAAATCCAGGGCTGGAAACAATCCTTAAGTTTCCATTTCAGTTTGACCTTATAAAATTCCCAGTTAAGAAATCCCATTAATTATTAATAATTATCCCTGTGTCACATCCAGAGCTGGGAGATGAGGAGAGGAGGAAAT